ATAAAAAATATTGATTTAGGTGATCCCCAACTCATTGTAAATAAACATAATCAATCCCACACACTGGGTGATTGAAAGTTTGTGCTAATAGGGAGCTTCAATTCTTTTCCCCTATAAAACCATGTTGTACTTCCTGTTGTGAAACTGTTATATTTAACTACAGAAAAGAAACAAATATTTAAAGATATTTTCACAAGCAACACATTTCTGAAAAGAAAAGTTCCGTCAACATCACTAAATTTGCCAGCTAGAATGGTTATGTAAAGATGTATCAGAACAAATACCTTCAGCTCCTGTAGTACTATAGTGTGTCTTTGATATTAAACACATAGGGCACGATATTAAAGAGGTGGCCAACATAATTATTATTGGATAATGTTGCAAAAGTTTTAAAAAAAGTGTCCATTACTTTCTTTTTATCTTTTATCTCACCCAGTAAAACATACAGTTTGCATCAACAAATTATCTTGCATCACTTTTTGTTTAAGATCACTACACTGCTGTAGAAATAAGTTAGATAGGTTGAATGCCTCCCTCACATTCAACCATAACCATTCTTATGGGTTTTTTTCACTGAATGAATGCTCACTTTTATAGATATTAAGTACTGCTAATTGCCCTGGATAAGGTCGTCTGGGCAAATTATTGTTCTTCTCGTATTCTACAGTAATTTCAAGGTAATTAATTGAATAATGAGTTAGACATTAAACATACTGAAACTTAAAATTCTCGTCTGTTTTTCTGTTGATGATAATCACTCAAGTGACTGAAACGTTTGTACACTTTTTAAAGTAAAAAGTGCTTTTTAAAATAATAACCATATATACTCACTTATACAGTATATATAATTTGTCCACTTCTGTGAATGACATTGCAGATTTCTCCTTACATGGTCTGAGCACCCAGAAATTAATTTTGGAATTCACCTAAGTGCTGTTTGTTGACCTTCATTTTTAGTGCAGTGATTTCTGTTTGTTCAGAAATTGAATACAACTTTTACAACTTTCCCACATTGCAATTGCGACCCTGCTGTAACAAAAGCAAGGCACAGATTCTTATTTAGGAACTGATTGCAATATGGATTTTATGCAGTTGGACAGTTTTATGGTACTGTACCATTTGTTTTAAGCATGTAGTAATTCATCTGTAAACTAGTGCAGTGAATTGAAATGATTATTTATGGTCACATAAGAACATAAGCATTTGAAAAGGTTACCAACGAGAGGCCAATCATCCCATGTAGCCCATTTATTAAATAGTTGACTGATCCTGGCTCTTATCTAGGTGTTTCTTGAAAGAAACCAAGGTAGCGGTTAGCAATAGCTGATCACGAAAAGGTGGTAGGATCCTATGCGGTGCTAGCCTAAGATTGAACAGAGGAAACAGAGGTTTTAGTGAGCTGAGCCAGGTTTACTTATCCAAAACGCGTAGTCAATATCGAGGTCCAGCGTGGGTCAAAATGCCGGTAGCACAGGACGAAGGATTTCACAGCTGTAGAAGTCGAGGCGAAGGTAGCTCGGTGAGGGTTAACTCAATACTCAGAGTGGAAGTGTTGGTGAGTAGCCCTTACGTAGTGATTAGATTGTGCGTCAGCGTTTTTGAGAAGTAGCCTGGGCTTGTATTTGATTAGTGTGTCAGCATTTGTGGGAAGCAGCCTGGGCTTGTGTCTGATTAGTGAGCTGGGTAGGTAGTTCCACACTCCCATAACCTTCTGGGTAAAGAAGTGCCTTCAAAATAAGCTTCTCTTCTTAGTTTCTTCTTAAAATACACTACTTCTACCAGTAAATGCTTATTATAATTATAACTGTGACCAATTCTACAGTGCTTTACATCCCAAAGGTCCCAAACATTAGAGAAGGAATACAGGTGAAGAAGTATTTCAAGCTAATGAAAGCCTTCATATTATGCAGATACAAAGCTTATTTTTCTATCTGGTATTATAAAAGTAAGATATGAAATGAGCTAGCAGGCATGCTGAATTAATCCATTAAAGCAATTTAAGCAATGAAACATTTCAAATAAACAAAACTGCTTCAGCTAATATTTAAAAACAAGTCCAGCACATGTGCACTTACATATCAAAATCTAACTCTGTATTCAGGACGACACTACTATAAAAGCCACAGTTCACAAGCCCCATATACTGTAATATTTTTTAAAAAATAGAAGTTTATTTAATTTTAAAAAGCATGTCTCCCTTGGCAATGAAATGCAGGTAAAGGAACTAGGGAGTCAATGATTAATGAGACACATCTTTAATAAATGCCTTGTTCTCATTCTGCAGCTAAAACTGGCAATGATTTCTTAGACTACAGCACTGGTTTGGCAAAAATCATAATGAACCATTATTTATACTGTATGTGCATAAGATGTACTGCAGGCTCAAGCCACAAATGCAAAATAGACTAAGCATATTAGGAGCTGACAAACGTATGTGATGTGGATTGTCTAGGAGGAAATGGGTTTGTGGAAATGCATTTTTCATGTATTAGTTATGCCATGCGAGGACAGTTTTTGATTGTTTTAATTTGCTAGGGTTTTTAAAGGGGCTCAGAAGTTAGAAATACTTTCTGTATAACAGAACATACAATTTTGAAAATAGCAATTAAAGAAGCACAGCTTGAGGTTTTCCAAATAAGATGATTAGTATCTGTTTCTATAAATTGCAAGAATCAATGGAGTACTGAACCTACAGTATATATGCTTTCAAATATATTTTCAGTAGTTCAGTTACATCCTAATAAATGCATTAGAGGTGGGGATGCAAGAGAAATACGCAAAGGGAGGCTTATATACAGTATGCAGGCGAGTGGAAGTCTGCAAAATTACAATCTAACCTTTAAATTTGTCTGTTACAACCTTCATATAGTACTTTGACTGGCAGTCTGGGTTTCTTTTCTTACTGTAAGCTTACTGACCCTGCAGTATGTTATCTAAACACCGAGATTTCTTACCCACAGTGTTAGCTCTGCAGCAATGTCAGCGAAGTAGTGAGGGTTTTAATTTACTGTAAGTTAGAAATTGGAACAATACAGTAGATTGTGAGAGTTGTTTGACAATTCTTAGCCCACAAACATAATAGTTTATAGGCTCACGTTTGGGTTCTAAAGTATGCAGTATACAATTTATTGATACAACACCAACATATATTTGTGAATCAATCAGCTGTGATACCACAGGTCGATCATTCACTCAGGGATTCCAAACATCTGAGTTAATAACTTCAAAGCTACAATATATCAACTATGACATGTTGTGGTCTACCAAGTAAATTTTATCTGACATAGTTACTGGAAATCACATTTACAGAATAATCTCAGATACAAGTTAATACAGTATGTATCTACATAACTATTGTGAACTAAACTATCAAATGAGTTTCAAATAATAATTTCAAGAATTATAACGTTACCAAAGAAGTTTTGTACTCAAAGTTCTGTTGGCCAGTTGTTTCTTCATAAGTCTGAGCTTCCTGCTTAGATGTGGCTGAAATGGATTAGTCCATAGTCTGACTATGTCAGCTGTCAGCTGTTTGCTCTTTGCTGGGAGTTTTCAGGTACAGAGAAGAGAGAAAGGCTTTGCCTAGTTTGCTGATGACAGCTCTCTAAGGAAGGTAGCATCGTGTTAAACTTTGATCTTTAAAACAATCTGTGCACAGTCGCCTTATTGGGTCTAGCCACAGGTAAGATGGGTGGGAGACACGTGGTTTATCCCAGCTATACTGTAGCTTTTTACTGAATAGGCTTGGAAATTCATTTGATGGTGTAAGATTAGGATTTGGCCATAACCTACTCTGAGAGTGAAAATTGGATGCACCTGGCTTATTTAGCCGATTAGTGACCTCTGTGAATTTAATGCCACGGAAGGGAAAAATAACTAATTTGATTGGCTCTGTTGGTAGTTTACACATTCCACAAGATTAATATTCAGGGAATATTAGTAGCTAGGTGTGAATGGGCTAGGGGTTTGTGTCTAAGCTCCAGCAGTTCTGTGAGAGTACACAGAAGAAGGAGGAAGCCAGGTTGAGTTCTACAGTTAGGTCAGTGTGGGCACCATGTCAAATAAAACCCCCAAATGGGTAATAAGAATCATTTCAGCGCTACAATATGTAAGCAGGTGGAAGGAAAGGTTAGGGTTTAACTTTCATATAAAACTACACTTATCTGTCGTTTCCCCATAGCAAGCTTTGCTTTTCAAAGATCCCAAGCAGTGAGGAATAAATCACAATAGAGAAAAAATAAAATATTTATTCAGGTATGAAAGTAACACAAAAAATGTAAAATGAGCTGTTTAGATACGAGGAGGAGAAATTAGGGAAGATAACTCGACAACCTAATTAACTCTGCTTGTCAGCTACCAGCAAAGCACTACTCCTAATTCATGTCACTTTCATTTCTCATGATCAAAACAGCAATCGGGAATATGCTTTCATGTTCTGGAAACCATTCTGCACTCACAGGCAGACAAACAGGCAGAATAAGAACTTTGATTACACAGTTAGCTGTTATTCAGATTTGTATCAATAATTCAATTAATTAGCTACTAGCTTTTACAGTGCTTACTAAAGGGCATAGAGGTGTCTCTTAATCTAGGGGAAATAAATTCAAAATATTTAGGTGTCTGTGATGGACTGATTTCCATCCAAGGTTTTGTCCTAACTTCTCTATATACTGTACCTCCAGGACAGACTCTGGGTTGTAGTTTGTTCCCAAATGATTTTCCTGGTAAAATATAAGTACACCTTTAAAAAAGGGTTGATATTACCCTCAACTATTAATGGATGGAGAGATTGTTTTAAGCACACTTTAACTTAAATAAATAGTTATAAAACGGTTATAAATCATTGCAGGGTGTTTTTACTCTGTTTAGGTGCTTTTGAACATGACATTAGTTTTGTAATATTGCATAATTTTCCTCTCAGTGCAAAATATAATTTTGAATCTTTGTTACACCCCCAGCTTATACTATTATTTTCATATTTAATCCACACCTTTAACTTTGTATGTAGGATGTACATTATAAAGAAGACACATTACATGCTGAGCTGTTGATTATAAAAGCAGTTCAAACATCTATTGAAACTGTTCAAGATTATCAACAGTTAAAGGTGCCTTTTAAATTTAAGAAAGATGACATCATAAAAAAACATAATTAAACATTAAAACCTCTAAATTCCAGGCTTCTTTAGATTGCATAGCACATGGAGGAGTGTGAATACTTTTGTCTTAGATGGTACTGTATGTACTTTGTAACGTCAAACATTATGGACTTCAGTAAAATTCAAAAAGTAAACAGTGTAGTGAGCTGTGGTACAATTAACATTTAGGTCATAGATGTAATTCCCAGGAAAGCTTTTAAAATTCTAAATGACTTAAGACGTGTGAATTTTATTACAAATTGTATAACTCTTATTTAGAAATAAATAAAAACAGAACCCATATGGTTGTGAATTAAGAGAAATGTTTTCACATTAAATGTCGGCATAAGCAATTGATGTGCTGATAACATTTAATGATACTCTTGATATATACTGTACATCTGTAACAGGTAGTTTATAATACCTGAATTCTGGTTTTATGTTTCTTGTTGTATTTCTTTTGATTTGGCACTGAACTGAGCTTTCGGTCTCTACTCTTCTTAACACGTAAATGATTGTTGATTTTTTAGCCACCTTGTGAACTGTAGTTGCAATTACTTGCATGGCATACAGTATATCCTAAGATCCTTTTCACCAGGGAGCACTGTTGAGAACGGGTGATCACACATGCTGCTTCAGCAAGTTTCTTTACAAAGCTGCTCAGAGTCTGCTGGCCTGTATGCAATTGCACCATTTGCCGGTTTAAAAAAAAAACAATGTTCTTGCCATTTTTGCCCAGCTCCCTGCATCTGAGGTGAGTGGGCGTGTGATCTGTGGCCTCTAATTATGTAGAGCCATACCTTATTTAATCAATACTGTATAGACAGCAAGAAATACATTGAGCAGAGATGCTTCTATAACTATCTGGTTCGAATGAAAGCCTGAGTGCTGTGATTCTTTTTTATTTTTCACACATGATTACTGAAATTAGCAGAAGATAACATTCTTTTTTGAAAGAAACAAATAGCACAATAATCAAAAGCACAAGAATGATTTACTAAGAATTACACTGATATCAGGAAAACATTGTACTGTAGTTTGATAAATTGTTTTTTTTTTGCCCACAATTCTAAATTCATAATTGTATACATTAAAAGGGACATTAATCAAACAAGTTGCAAAACTGCCATTCACTATACATTTATATTACAGGCTTTTATAAGATTATTATTTTTTTGCTATTTAGAGTACTGCCACAGCTCAACTAATTCACAAAGACCCAGCTTCGCCTTTGTTACCTTTTTAGGTCAAATGTGACAGATGAATTTCACTACCTATTAATCAGAAACAAACAATTTACCCAAGAGCAAGTTTGTTTGTTTTTTTTCCTTCTGATGTTTTTTTTCAACCGTACCTTTTGGAAAGGTAGATGAAATGCAAAACAGAACCCAAGTTGCTTGTTGTTTAAAATGAATACAACACAATAATTACATTATATTCGGGTATATTGACCTGAGAATCTTTTTAGTAAGTTATTTGTTTTGCTTAACTCACTTTTCTGTAACAAAACAAAAGTATGCTCTTGTCTTTTTATTGCCGCACAGTTGCTGATAAAACAGATGATAAAATAGATTATCCGCAGCATATAACATATTGTGAGGCATCTGTGACATTTTAAATGTTCAGGAACAAAATGAACACATACTGTATTATTCCTGAAAATGTAGGTATTCTGACATATGGATGATATCTGTATTTCATTACTTAAGCAAAGCAGCTCGGTTACATAGGGGTTAACACTGTGCCTCACAGCCCTTAGGTCTTCGGTTTGTCCACTGTGTGTCTTCACATTGGTTTTCTCTGTGGGCTTCTTTTTCCCAGTGCAATCTGAAGACCTGCTGTTTAGGTTACTTGGTTTCTTTAAAATATACCCCATGTGTGTTTGTCCCCTGAGAGATTAGAGATAGATACATATACATTATCTAGGATACTGTACATTAAACTGAATCGACTGTATTTAATCTGTATTTGTTTCAGGCAAAGCTCATTCTTCTGATGCACCAAAAATCATGTCCAAATTCCATATCCCAAATCACTAAAGAAAAGTATGTTTCTGATTACTTTTACACACACCAAAGCATCTAAAATAGAAGAAATTTAATCCATTTGAACACTAGCTAGTGTTCATCTGTTTTATTTGAGCATCACATAATGCCAAACGCCACCTTGTTGTGATGGAGATAAAGGTATATGCAGAATATTTTAAACTGAATTTCACAGTACCCAAATTACCCTTGAACAACACTGAAGGTACACACTATATATGTAGGCTGGTTTCATACAGTACATTACTTAAAGAATTAGGTCAATAAACAAGAAGAAGTGTCTCAATAATGTTTTTTTTTCTGTTTTTTAGAAACCAGGGGAACTTTTTATTTTGCTACAAGATGTGGCAGTCCCAAAGGACACTGTGGTGGAATTCCATGGAAATGAGCAGAAAATAAAGGTCCAGCCTACATTATGGAATGAGAAGACACTCTGTGTGAAAGCTTTAGGTAAGAAGAACTTAATTTACTTTACCTTTACGACACGTTTTGTTAAATTTGGACAGTCCTTGTACATAAAATCTATGGATTAGGTTCTGCTCTTTGATTGATTTGTAGCTCCTTCCTGAATAAAAACAGTGGCACAGGGAGCATGTGATTTATGAGAAACAAATACATTTGCAGCCTCCTTTCAGAGATGGGAATGACAGTTGTCAAGTACTGATTTGCTGTTCTTCAATTATTTATGGGTCCATAAATAATTGAAGAAAAAACAAAACAGTCTTTTTGCAATCTATGTTCCTGTTGCTTTAGGAAATGTTGGCTTCTGTTAAATGTGCTTAGACTAGATCACTTTTCACTGTTCACTGTTATATTTTATCATATCTTTTGTAGTATAAAATAAATCACATTTGTTGAAATGGCAGTGACAAGCCTAGGCGTTATTATAATTTTAAAGAATTTAAAAGAACATTACACCTGTTTTCATCACCAATAAGCATTGTGTAAAATCACATTTCAAGCCTTTAAAAATTAATTATTCCCTTGAGAAAAAGGCTTATATAATAAGAAATTATCATGTTTTTGCAAGCATTTCCTTATTAGTTTATCTAACACAAAAACTGTGAACAAAAATGTAGTTATGATACAAATATAACGAAGCTTAAAAAGTAAATCGATATGTAACAAAAAATCAATCACAGAAAACAATATTATATTCCAAATATAATAACACAACATAAACTAGACATTTCAGACCAAGAAACCAGAAGTTATTCAATGTTGCTTTGAACTATTTCATGTTTCCACTAATGCAAGGTGAGAAATTCCATGGGAATAATTAGAAAATTAAATGCCAGGGTGTCAAATTCCTTTTTTCTGTGCTGTTAGATGCTATGTGGGAAAAGACTCTTCTTTTTTGCACTCTGAGCAAAATAGAGTGGCTCATGAGCACAACCATCAACGCTCTGAGCAACTTGAAGATATGTTAAACATGTTTAATAACAGCATGACCAAAAAGTGAGTAAAATAACATAATGTGAATGTTCGATTCACTTATAACCTAATTTTATTCCATTTGCCATGGTATAACAACACTTGTGGATTCTTCCACTTTGTGAAGCTCTTTTAAATGCAATGAATGTGACAGTGTTCGCTTGGATTCTATATTTCTATTCTATATTTATTTTGTACTGAGCCTTTAGAACATTTTGGAAAGTTGTCAATACAGCTGTCTGAAATAAACAGCAAAACACATTCCATAAAGATAGCACTTAAATCCATGCACCCCACTAATACAAGGGCTATAAGTATTTTCTTTCTATAGGAGTCATTTTTATTTGCTTAATATTTATTGTATCGGATCCCACTTAAGTTCTCAATTTCCTGCCTTTGTTCTCTGAACTCGTATGTAGAATCAGACATTAAGTTCACAATAATTTCTGGGATGATTTACTAGGCTAGGTGCTTGATTTGTTTCACTGAGCTAAAAAGCATAGTGAATTAAACTTATGAATCATCCAGAGGCTCGTGAGTTGTTGTGCAACCTAGTATGTTTTGTTCTTGGGACTTTCAAGATCACTTGGAGGCAATACCATACAAAGGCCTGGTCTGAAGTGCACTCGGAGTTTGAAACTAAAAGTATAAATGCATTTTTCCTCATTCTTTTATTATGGTACAGATTTAATTACTTATTGATTCAATAATAATGAGTGAAAATGTTTTCTACAGAAATGAAGGATACGAAGTTTAGGATAGCTCTATGAAGTTGCTCCCCCTAAAAACAGCACAAATGATGAAACCCACCACATTTGTTAGTGATGCATTTGTGCCACTGAAAGTATCTTCCCAGCTGCTTTTGTTCCTGAGATATAGTGCTTCTTTTTTCAGGTAATACAGTGGCCATTTACAACATGTAGCACTAGTAACCCTTTATGGGAAGTTAAAACATTCTATTATTGGATACAATGATACGAATGCCTGCAATTTTGATTCTGTGTGTGCCAGGGGGAACATATGCATTTTATACCAGTATTTTCTGTGCGTTCGTGTGAACAGGAAAATTTAATTTGTCTCCAATATCATACCGTATTTTCAATAGTTGAGGGTTTAGCCTTAAAACACAAACATAAGGAAACAATTACATGTTCTTAATAAAGGCTATAACTAGCAAGTCTTAAAGTCTGTCAATATTTTTTGAAAATCTGAAGAAGTTGTCAGTTTTTCATTTTGTCCTTTTCAAATAAATAAGCAAATCCATGGACATTTATGGATTCGATCCATTTTTCAGACTACGAATTTAAATTGATTAGTATAAGCAACTCTGTGTATTACAAAGACCATTGTTGTACTATTTATTTTATGCAAAGTAAACTTATAAATATCAAAAAGGGAAACTATGTACTAAATTGAACATGGTAGTACAACATCGGAAACTCTCATAAATGCAGACCTCAGAAATATTTGAAAATATTTTTTATTTTCACATATATTAATTGAACATATATCTAAGTTCTTAAAAATTTAATTATCTACTGTACATGTACAGTACATTATGTATTTGTAGTTACAATGCTCTAACTTGTAAACATAACACAATTAGGTCACAGTCCTTTTATTTTCGTATTTCTGGTAAATCCTGGGTGTAGAACACAGCTTGAGGGAACACCTTGATGTCTGTAAGATGTAGATATGACTGTCTTTAAGTCATCATATTTCTCTCAGCTGAAATCATTACTTTTGCAGTATGCAATGTAATGACCAAGAACATGTTTGTTTGTCCAGCTCCACGAAGCACCCCAAAAAAGCACTATATCTCAGAAACAAAAGCATTACAAATGCTACTTTCAACATCACAGACAGGCGCAAATGCAGCACAACAGGTTTCGTCATATGTGTGTTTGTAGGGGGTCAACTTCACAGAGCCGTTCACGTTGTATCAAAACAATACTTTATTTACTGAATTAGCAAATCATTTTCACCTTAATTTGAACACATTACAATATATCAAATTTCAAAGCTGGTTAAAACTTTGATGTTTCTCTGGCATCCACAATAAATGGCTTCTTCTGCTTTTCAAAATATTATTTTGCCTAAAACGTTTATTATTTGTCTTAATTATGAATTCTAAAATTTTCTCTTTAACAATGATAAAAGCAATACGGGGGCGAGGGGGGGGTAAAAATAGATCCTTGCAAAGCTTGCAGAAAATCTTAAATTGAACCTCTACGATGGTCCATTTTTAGAAAATGTTCTTTTTTGAACCAGAAGACTTTGCAAAACAGTAAGGGAGTGAAGAGAGAAAAATATATTTTAACAATGTAACAAATCTTTCATTGAATGTCATAATAAAGATGGAAATGTGAAGGAAAATGTGAAAAGTTGTTAAATGTCAACCAATTACACATCAAGGTGAGAAAGTGTAACTTCTGTGCAGAATTTCACTACATAATCCTTTTAATGAGACACTGCATACCCTCTTAAATCACCTGTGAATCGTAAAACAACCTGATGTCTTTTAACAATGTTTTATTCAGCACAAGGGGATGGTTTTGAGGGATGATGCTAATTAATATTTTTATTCATATCTAAAATTAAATGTTTTCTTTTCAGCCTTTCCTCCAGGAACTGTTAATGTCACAGTCTACAACAGGGGAACTGTTACAGGCAAGACACAAGTACAGTACTACAATACAATGGGAGAAATAGCAGTGCTTCTTAAGAAAGCAGCAGATCCCATCAACTTCATGTGGCAGGTAAGTGTTACATTTCTTTACAGCTTACTGAGTTGGTGGGTTCCTATGTCAAATATGTCTAAGATAAAAATAAAAACAATAAAAATTTAACAAAATTAATTTAACACAATAACATGGCTCACATACAAAGTTGTTTTTGATTTTGTTGTGTTTGTTCATTTTGCTTGAAATTTTTAGTGTCTGCAAATTTAGAAAACTGGTGAATCATAGACAAATATGGTCAATATTTCCCAATAGTAGAGAATCACTGTCCAGGGCCAGACAGTGCACTGTCAGCTCTACAATCTCCAGCCTTATTCTGAATGTTGACCCTGACCTGTCATGTCAATGTTTGAACCCCCAGTTGTGACCAGCATCTATGAAGCCCTTTCTATTTTTAAAAAGAATAGTGAGAAAAGAATGTTGCCTGACTTGACTTTGCAGATGCTAAAGAGAACATTCACAAGCAGCTTTTGAAACTACGTACATCATTTGTTCACATAGTCAGTTCATATTGTAATTGTACAATCATTTTTATACAAATATCACATGGCTTGATAGCTTCACAGATTTCCCCGCTACTGACTCACGATTTTGTACTGTATGGAAGAGGTCAGTAAGTGACTCACTGTACCTCTTCAGCATCACCCATATTGGAAATGAATTAGACACATGCAGTATTAGTGACTTTTAATTTCACTTCATTTATTGATTCCCTTCAAAGGGTATATAAACTTACATGCAATACAGAATAGTTGATGTCTACCATGCAAAACCAAGCTTTGTAATCAGATGTGAACACAGCAGATTGCTTCAAATATAATTTTGAGGAGTGAGTTTTCCATTTTCATACCTTGAGGTCACAAAAAATACTGGCTCATCCACGGTGACTTATTTGTTATTTTTACAGAGCCCCTTCTAAAACAATGAATAGTTTAGTTTAGATGATACTGTATGTAAAGCAAAAGATTGATATGAAACATTTAAAAATTTGACCTGATGTTTTATTGATATTGATGGTTTGCACTTTCTGTGTTACTCTTTAAGAGTAAGAGTGAAATAAGTAGTTTCTGTTGTGTGAGTGTACTTTCAGTGACAGAACCTTGCATCTCAACTTTATATACACTTTTAGTTTGTCTTGAGCATAAGCATTTTTTCAGGTCACAACAACATTTGCTACTGACAATAACCACAATACTGTTTCACTAAATGTGTTTAAAAAGGGCAATAATTAAGCATGGTTTCCAGTTTTTCTGCATCATTCCACAATGCTGTAGGTTGAAGAACATGGGAAGATAGATGTACTGTAAATGCTGTTTAGTGAGGTGAAGTTCTCAAGTATAAAAATGAGTATTTTTATTCACCGTAGTAGTTCAGGTGGGTAGCTGTGTCAGCATGCGTAGGCTGCGTAGGAACAAGTAATAGGTTTATTCCATGCTGAAAAGAGAAGAAACTGGTGTACACTCTGCTTGAAGTCTGCATTGGCCCTCTGGGTGATCCCATTTGTCCAAAGACATACTGATAGGTTAATTGGCTTCTGGGTAAATTAGCTTTGATGTGAGTGTGAATGTGTCCATGTTTGTGTCTGTGTGTGTCCTGCAACGGACTGGAGTCCAGTCCAGGTTGTATTCTGCCTTGCACTCGATGCTCCAGCTCTCCCATGCCCCCGAATTGGAATAAGCAGTTAGAATATGGATGGATCTTACCAAGATATACTGCAAAAGTACCAAAATTAAACTTTTAATTTTTAAAATTAACAACAAAACGTTTTATGCAGCTGTCAATGAACAATGTGGGGGAATTTAAGATACCACAAGCTAATGTGTATTTTAGTCCAGAGACTTCCACTAAACTATTGCAAATCATTGTAGAATGTACTTTAACAATCCCTTGGGTTGGTTTTTAGAATATGCAGGTACAGGACTACAGACACACCAACCACAGCCATAAGGTTCTGAAATACCAAATATAGTGTATTTACAGTGGGGGGAAATAAAACAAAAACAGCCACAACCAAAAAGACACCGAAACAAAACCTAAGTTCCACTTTGAGCTCCTAAATGTGTTGAAGTCCTTAACTATCATAGCCAGGCAAGTAATTTGCTTACTATCTTGAAAACAATCACAGCACATCATTGTTTCCTCCTTCTTTCTCAAAACTCACAAAAGTTTCCTTCTCCCTTGTCTCATTTGAGCATGTACTGCTCAGGATCTGCCCTGTGTCCCATATACAGTAACAGCCCCCACCCTGAAAACCTCTGCCTTATGGTTTTAAAACAGTCACCTGACCACTTGCTTTCAAACAATTGGTCAAGAGACTGAGAGCAGCAGCTCATTCCCACAGATCACCGGACAAGGCTGTGCTTTTACAGTACCTAACACTGTGTTTAATGAAACACAATGTTTGTTTGCGCCCTCTACTAACAGAGGGTAGCAAAGAAGGCTAAGATAATTTTGGAGTGTGGTCCCCTCTTCTGTAAATTTACTCCTTCCATCTGGGAGATATCGCTTTGTAACTTTCATTCCCTCTGCAATCTCACTTTAAAACAATGTATAATAACTCTTATTTTCTGATGTACAGTACACTGTGGTACTGTATGCTTTGTTGATAATATATGTCTGTATTTGTTCAATTGTTGTATTGTATTATGCCATAAAACCAATTTCTCCAGGGGATAATAAAGCTTGAATTGAATTGAACTGTCCACAGTTTTCCCCTTGCTATTACTAAATCTGCCTGTGTAATTATACCACACACAAGCCAACATAAGCAAATACTTTTTTCTGCAGGACATACTTTTCTGAGGAACACATTTAGGTGTGCTTACTTTTTTGGATTTTGCTACAGTGCTCCAGTGTGTGTAGGAGGCACATAAATCTGGAGCTCTTAACATTAACTTAATTAAATTTTTTAACTTGCTGATGTTGCAAAATGTATATGGTCTATGAAAAGATAATTCTAAAACACTGACTTTGCAGGAGTAGGGTAGGAAACCATTTTATTTATTATTCATTCAAAAAAAAACTTAAACCTTTTTTGGAAATCTCTGCATGGGAAATTCAGAAGATTTATTTCCCTGTTTTACATAAAGAACGGCTGGTTTCCAGAATATATACAGGTTTAAAAATGACTAAATATTTGTATTTGTATCTGTCTTTTGCATTTACAAACTTCTAAAGAATGTTTTAATTAAAATGTGATGACAGGGGTTCATATTAGAGGTGATATTGGGAAGAACTAATAGCTTTTGTTCTTCCATTTGTTATAATTTATATTTAAACTGGTAAGAAATTTAGTCCATTGACTGCCACATAAATTTAAAATCCAATTGTATCCTTTTATGCTGAGTTTAACTGATTAACTCATACAATGTCATAAAACCAATCACCCTTATTACTTCAGTTATTATGTCAGCATATTGAGCAGACCAAGGAAGACTTCAGCCAACTTCCAAATTAAGGTTACAGCAGCACCAAGGTTACAAATTAAGGTTACAGCAGTTACAGTGTAACCCTGCCTAAAAGTACATATTTAATGTTCCTTGTAGGAACCAATTGGTTCTTAAGATATAAAACTGGAGGTTTATGTTTCCTTAGTGTTCAGATAGGAAAGAAAAATGTTAGGAATTGTAAAGCTTGGACTTGCACAGAGGACTGTGCCAACTTTGCTTCATGGGTTTTAAAATGGATTTAATAGCATGGCAGCAGCTAAACCTTTTTAATGCACACAACCTCACATATTCTGGTTTATAGAAGTCTGCTTAAAGGTTTTACATTACTGATACCCAAGGAAAACCCACAAGTAGGCTATGTTTAATATCAAAAGCTAATTGAACAGATAATGGTGTTATTGAACAGACATATGGATGGACATCAAATTCTTATCTTGTCCACGGTTATCACGTCCACTTCCCCGTGCCTAAAAGCTCCCTGACTGAACTAAGTGCTGTGCACATCTTTTCTAGTACTCTTCATTGCCGTTTGTTGCAGGTGGATGTGTTTCACATTTAGCGTTGTTGGGTTCTAACATTCATCACATTCATCCAGGCCAGGAGATGCGTTTGTCACAAATACTTGACTCCTACATGCAGGAGTACCCTTCTTCCCTGACCACAGGTTGTTTTATCTTTTAGAACCCACAGTACACCCACAGATTAGACAAGGCAGTTACAGTAGGAATGTTTAAGTGCCTTTTTATTATCTAACAGTTACAACACCCTGTCTACCCAACATCCAGAGCCCTTTGCACAAAACTCTCTCCAAGGGACACACAACCAGCAGTTCTGCCCTCCATGTAGTTCCTTTTTTGATACTTAAGCATCTTCTTTAATCCAAGGAATCTTGAACAAAGTGTCTCTGGTTTTCCCCCTCTACCCTGTTTATCTGTGAGACCACCTTTGGAACAAGGGGGGAGAAGGACGATGTTGGCTTTCCTCCTCTTCTCTCAGTCCCTGGTGTCAAACTCAAGTCCTCTCCTGGATCCAACTGCTGCAATCTCTCTCACAATCCTTCCTCCTCCAAAGTTCCTTGAGTTCCCTGACTCTGGATTTTTGAAGCCCTCTTAACATGGACAAGGGCTCATGACTCATTCTCAGGAAGAGTGGAACATACTGTATGTCGGCAAGCAGTATTAATTCATAGTTGAGACACTGTGGTGCTAATGTGGATACCGCATTACGACACGAAGTAATCTGGACAGCTCACAGCCTTTCTGCAGCAGTTCTCTAATATCTTCAGTTACCGTAGTAATATTGATCTCAATGGAATCCTTTCTCAATAAATAAAACTGAGGAAGAAAAGAGAGATTCGATATTGTTTCACAGTAAAGTCCTTACTTTTGTTCAACACATTTTTAAAATTGAACAGAAATGCTTCGATTACAGAGAAACTCAAATTATATCGTTTATGGTGTAAACAGTATGAAATCAGTTATTAGTCTGTAAAATTAGTTTGTAAAATAACTAAATAAGTAAAATGCAGAGAATTGTTCCATGATTCTTAACTTGATTTAAGAATTTTAAGGCAATTAAATAATCCATTAAAAACACTTATGATATAAATACACAAAACCGTAGAGAATGTTGGTTAACAAGAAATGTTAAGGATTACAGTACACATATAGATGTGGCATCAGAGTCCTAGAATGAAATTGTTACAGAGCCTGATGTAAGAAGATGACAACAAAAATAGTTTGTATGTGCAGTAATCTGCAACATAATTTTTCATGTTGGTGGGAATTCTTTGAACATGCATAGCAGTGAACACTTACAAATTAACGTGGCATTTGCCATATGTTGACACAATACATCATTACAAAAAGACCAGCTCTTGTTGGGTCTTGTCTCTTTATGCAGACATTTCATGTTAACAATTCAGTTGACACTAATTACTGTTTTCTTCGTAGATGCATTTTAGCATGTGACTTTCACCTTATTGATTTCTTATGTGAATCTGTTTCATGAATCTCCGTGCTACAGTTAATGGCACATTATTAAGGTAAAGATGACTTGTGACAACATTTCCCTTAATCTGTGGAAAGACAATTATCAAAGTGGAAGAGATGAGAATTGAACCAATGACCTTAACTCACAACAACGACTATGCTAATCAAAGCAGTATTCAGGTTACTCATAGAGAGTCATCATAACATCTACAGTAATTAACTTACATCTTAATTTAACATATTCAGTTCCAAAGCAGAAAAAGATAAAGTAGACATTTTTTACACATATTTGAAAATGCCATAGAAAAAGACTTTAGTGTTAGACTCGACCCCGCTAGAGCAAGGTGGAGGGAGCTAGCAGACTCTAAACTGCCACTCAGTGGCCGTTACCATGGAGATGCATTCCAACAAGAAATCTGCATCACCTAATGGAGGCGAGGACAAATCCATCACAAGGTGCACAAAGACACACACACACTCACCCCAGGGCCATTTTTCCCAGAATTCAATTAACCTACCAATATGTTTTTGGGGTTGTGGGAGGGAACCTGGAACAAACCCAGGCAAACGCAGAGAAAACATACAAACTCCACACAGATAGCACTCCAGAATCTCAGCATTGAAAGGCAGCAACACTTACCACTGACCCACCATGCTGCCACAACTGGAGCTGTTAATCCATATACACAACACATACAGTAGCTGAAGACATAGTGTGCTGAAGAAGGCTTTCACTTTCTTGACAACTAGAAACCTTGCAATGGAAAAGTCCATCTGTACAAACATCTGAGATTATCCAGCATGGGGCCAGGATCTACAGATGCAAGCAGGTTTAAAAAATGTTACAAATTCATAAATCTGGATCTAGAAAAGAGGGGAAGAGAATCCAAAGAAAAACTGTGAGCAAAATGCATAGGGAACATCATCAAAACATACTGCAGGAAAAAAATCAAAATGTTACCATATTAGATAATTAAGTTCTCATACTCATGGTAGGAGTATTGGAAACAAAATGCAGGAGATAGAAGCTACTTTTGAGGTAATTATAGTGTAATTGGAGTCAAAGAATAATAGCTGTTGGTGGACTTAGACAAAATTTACTTTAAAACACAGAGGAAGCAGAAATTATTTGAGATGAATCAACAGTCTCAGAATCTAGACGGGTCAAACTAGTGTTAAACGTATTCTAGTCAATCAAATTTAAATTTCATTTTAGTATCATTATCACACAGTCTTTTTAAAGGAATAAGGGATGTAAATGTAGTCATTTTGATTAATTGATCAGTCATGATGGACTTTAATACACTCAGGTGACTTTAACTCTTCCATGAGCACTAAATTATCTCAGAGTGAGATGACTGGATACAGATGATGAGGTTGTTTATTCCGTTGACTGTCAAGTCAGAAATTGATCCTGGTGCCACTTCTATGTTGGAGTAATGCCAGAAATGGAGTTTCTGTTACTCAAGTAACTCATCAAAATGTGATCTTATTGCTAGAGGGTGAACATTTTTGCAAGGTGAAATATTGCATAGAAGAAGTAAAGGCATGGCAGATAATAGAAACACCTAAAATAAAATAATCTCCAGAGCATGATGATATAATCCCAGTAGAATTTAAAAAGTACATATAAGTACATACGTAGATATTATGCATATGTTGTTAGCAAAACAATTCCAAAGATCATGATAGAATAAAATTAATTTAATGGAAATCGGTTGATGGAGTGCCAATCAATAAAAACTGTTTCATAGAAACTACGGTACTGTATGTAATTATAACAATGTCTTATTTTTGATTATACTCAAAATTGTTGGAATGAAACACATAGTTTCTGTTTACATTCTGCATTCAACACTCTGCACTTGTCATTAAACTGTCTGCAAGATGTTTGCATAGTTTTTTGTTCTTTGAAAGGTTTCATTGCAAGTTTTAGTGTCTGCTAATCATCCTGATTTGGTATCAGCTGTGAACATTGTAGTAGTTTCCTTTCTATAACTGAATCTACAATGCTGACATACAGTAAATGAGTAAATTCCACTAATTACAGTATATCACTTGAATTTGAGAATTCACCTCTTTATCTGTATTCTGTTTTCCATCCATTTATTGGTTCTTAATACCAATACACACATTATGCTGAATGCCTAATGCCTGCAATTTGAGCATAAAGCTTTTATGAGACATCTTTTTGAAATTCTAAATATGCCATATTGCATGATTTTGTTTGTATCCATTACTGCTACTGTCTGTTCAAACAGCTAGAAAGTTAGTATAGTGTGATCTAGCTTTTCTCAATTCATGATGACTATTCCCTCGAATCATATTACCATTCAGTACTTCTATTTAACTGTATTATGCATCATGCAATCGTATATCTTCTCATGTTTCTGGCATTATAACTTTGACTATTAACAATACAGATTAGTTTAGGTATGAAAAAAACAATCTTTTGTTTTATAAATATTGAATTCACATTGATCGGAATCTGGGCAGAACAGTGGTGCAATCAACAGCTTTGCTGCCTCATAGCCCTGAGTTGAGTTCCTGGGGTGGTACAGTATCTGCATGGAGTTAGTGCATTCTCCCTGTGTTCATATGGGTTTTTGCCAGGTGCTGTGTTTTCCTCCCACTAAACAAAGACGTACTGTTAGGTTAATTGGCGTCTGGGGAAAAAGGTCCCAGTGTGAGTGTATCGGGTCACATCCAGGATACATCCTGCCTCTCGCCCATTGTTTGCCAGCATAGTTTCCAGCTCCTCCATGACCCTAAAGGCAGAAAATGGATGGATTTTCATCCATAATGATTGGAATTTGCAAATGGTTGATTACTTCAACTAAAGGCAAACTACACTACTGTATATATGTGCATCCAATATGAAAAGCTGTAACAGTTTCTCCTGTAAATGTAATCACATTTGCTTTTCAAATACAAAAGACTCATAATGTCAGGCATTCTTTATCAATAACACATTTATTAAGCTACAATATATATATATATGGATATTTTTGTGCAGCAAAAATAAATATATTAGTAATAAAAACTCCCAACAACTGTTTTGAAAATTAACCAAAATTTCAGTGTATAATCACCATAAAATTGTTCCTGTATAAAGGTAAAACATTAAAATAAAAAAGTAGCAAAATACAAAACATGTACAGTATGTCAGGTGGGTAGCTGCGTCAGCATGTGTAGGCTTCAAAGGAACAAGTAATAAGTTTATTCCATGCTGAAAAGAGAGGAAAGAAAACACAAAGTTTTGGCCGTGGAGCCACCTGAAGAAGGTTTATTAATCAGTCCAATTTTCACACAACACTGGCTTCAGATACTGTACAACAGTACAGGCTACAACAGTCAGCCTTCTTGCATACAACAAATATGTACTGTAGCAGTAGTAAATACATCATCCCTGTCAATCACATTGGGCAGGTCTCATTCTACAAGTCCTCTTTTTACCGGCTAGCTGACATACAGTAGCAGCAACCGAGGCTGCTACACTGTTTCACTCAAACCAGACATCACACAGATGTGATAACCACTTAACTCAGGCAGCACTATTCTATCACTTGGCCTTAGAGCAGGCTGTCTATAGAAACCTCCAGTCCTCACGGGGATGGCTTTTGGAACCAGTCCCCTCCTGGGATTCTGATCTTTTACTCGTCTGGCATCCCACTGCGAGATCCAACTACCAGAGTTCTCCCCATGAGACTCTGATACTTGCTGCCACGCCTGGTAGTGAAGGTCTGACTCCCCTGAGTCCCCAGGATTCACTCACTCACACCTTATATAGGGAATTGGCTTCACATCAGTGATGCCAATCCCCCAATATTCTTTTGCATTATACAATCTCCAGCTGCCCTATTACATGTAGAACATTGGCACATCAGTGTGCAATAGATTTCTAATAATGTCTATGGGTTAGATGTAGGTGTAGGTACTGTATGTTAACATTTAACTGTTGTGTCCAATATAGAACAAGGCCTAATATAAATCCAGTATCCAGCTCTGAATGATCATTTACTTCAGTACAATAGGTGGTTTTAGTGAAGTGGAATTTCATTTGAGTTGGTGTCTCATTTCTGTCTCCCAATTCAGGCATTCCAGATTTCTTCAACAGAAAAATTAGACCAGTTGCTCTCCTCATCACTGAGACAGAGGATGCCCACAGGGGGATTTGGGGTTCTTCAGCTTGATGAGAGCAACAAAGGCTGTAAGTACAGTATGTGAATGCTTCAGGATCAGTAATTAAGAAGCAAACAAATATTCTGATTTGTCATGACATTAAGAATTTAAGTTAGACATAAACATGGAACACATAATTATTCTCTTACAAACAAAGAAGAGGTGAATGAATTAATCTAAATATAATTGTGTGTACTTTAATTGGAAATGCCTGGGATTTTCTTTTTGTTTTCAACTGTTTTTGATAGTTGCAAACTATAGGTGCAACTCAAGGGTCTTTCAAGAAGAGAGCTTTGTAACTCTTAAAATTAAAGTGATATGCAGATCTGAAAATAGTTACAGTATATATAAAGAGAACTAATTGATTTTTAGATATAATTATCTAATTAAGATTTTTATGTCTTACTCAGTACAGACATTAGACAGAAATAACCAAATAATTCTTCAAAAGTCAATTTTTCAAGTAACAATACACAATAACAAAGTAACAAAGTAAAAAAATAAAGTAACAAAGCAATTTCTTTCATTCTTTTCTTAATAGCTAAAACATTATAAACAATATAATAATAGTGGACTTAATTATGGAGTATAATTATCTGTGTAGAAAATAGAACCTCTATCGTCACAATTGTGATGACGATTGGTTTTGAGTTACTGTATATACAGACTTAGTAATGTAGCTTTTTTTTAAAACAATATCATTATTGTTTTTTCAATATTAAATATAACACTAAAACTTTGTGCAAGTAGTATGCACATTTACAAATACTACTTGCACAAACATCTGCAGTGATTTGAAGTACAAGTTTGTATAGGAGTTCATTTTTCTTAAATATAAATATATTGTGTACAAGGCTTAATGTATTTCATTTCAGAAAACAGTTTCTCTAATTTAAACCATTACTCCCCTTCCCGCAAGATTTTACCCTTCTGACTCTCTAGAAAAATTTTGGAATGTATCCCAAAGCTTTCTAAATTCTTCCATTTTTTTAAACTTAAGGAAGTATTATTTTCCTGTGCAGGGTATGAAATCATCTCCTTCAACCATTGTGTCACAGAAGGACATTCCTCCTGTTTCCAAGTACAGACTATCACTCGTTTTGCCTCGAAAAGGCAGAGAATTACCAACTTTTTTTTAGTCCTCAGTTCTTCTGAGTATACTGTATATTGTTACAAATAGGGGGTTACAAAAATGGTGAAAATCAGGAATTGACCAAGCTGTTTAGTCAGTAAGTAAAATAAATATTCATAACCCTTAACTTATATATGTAACAAATGTTTATTAATGATGACAATACAAACACTACGCTACACAACACAACATACAACACACAACTTACTATATTTATAGTACAGTATGTACAGGCAAGGTATTTCAGCGGCATAACATCCTAATCACCTAGAAAACCTTAGACTGCTGCTAAGTATCAAACTCCAAAATCATGCCTACAAAGGCCAAAATATGGGCGGAGCGGTGGCTCTGTGGCTAAGGATCTGCGCCTGTGACTAGAAGGTTGCTGGCTCAAATCCTGCGGTCAGTAGAGGAATCCTACTCCATTGGGCCCCTGTGCAAGGCCCTTAACCCTAACTGCTCCAGGGGCGCCGTACAATGTTAGACCCTGCACTCTGACTCCAAGCTTCCTGTCTGTGTGTCTGTGTCTCCATGGAGAAAAGCTGGGGTATGCGAAAAGACGAATTCCTAATGCAAGAAATTGTATAGAGCTAATAAAGAAACATTATAAATAAGAGATAGGCTGCCTTCTTAATAATTGCAATACAACCTGCAGTTAAATCTCTCTGTCTGCAAACCCGGATGCCTCAAAATAAAACACAGCATAGCAAGCTCTCTCTAGCAAGGTTCAAACGCTTACAGTGTATCTCCAGGTTTTGTTTGGATGACCATGAAGTAGGGACTCTTGCCTGATGCAGGCTCCTGGCTTCTCTCTCTTCTCTCCTCTCTTCACTCTGCGCTCTGCTGAGCATAGTCAGAAACCAAAATAGGAGGACTGAAGCTAATAATTAATGTTTGAATATTGAACACCATTTGAGCATGGATAAATTGAATATCATAAGGAAAGAAAAAAAAGATCAATGACATTTTTGTCTACATCTGTGATGTAGAGTGAATTAGGACTTGTAGACTGTTTTAAACACAGGTCCTTAGACCTTCTCTTAATATTTAGAATAAGTTGAGGGGTAATATTTTTACTTCTGATTCTCTAAACTGGTGCATACAAAAATCCCTAATGGAGAAATAGCTCAGGGACCCGAGGGAAGAAATATTTATGAAGTGTCAGACTTGTGAAAAGTAAATGCAACACATGGTCTGCTTCACTTCAAGCACCCAGTAGACTCGTTGCTTTCAGCTAGAATTCACAAGCCCATAACACTTTGGGTCTTTCTCTAGGTAAACTGAAATTATGTAAAATAATAATTTCTCATACAGAAAATAAGAAATTTGGAAAACAACAAAAATTAAGACTTGGTCTAATTTACAAAGAAATACAACCAGAAGACAGCTATTTTTTTACATTGAATTCCTGATAGTTGTATCACTAAGGTAGAAAATGTTCCTTCTGGCTGAATGTTCAGTGGATAATGGAGCAGTACTAACAGGCGCTTGTTATTAGATTCTTTGTTATTTATAACCAATCAACCACTGTAACACTAGCATGCTGAAATTTCAAGAATGATGTTGTGTGTTCTTCCTTTTTTGGATTCATATGAACTTTTCTGCTGGATATAGTATCATCTCAACAGATTACTTACAGTAGCAAAATTTCTTTTGGAAGCATTAGTATTTTTATCAAGGGCAGCTAACACATACAGTACCTGACTATGTCAAAACAGTATTTACCTGAGTATGAAGCTCAATTCAATTGGAATTGTATTTTAGAATGTACTCCTGAGTCTTTAGTTTTTAGGCTTTTTATTATTGAAATTTTTAAAAAATAATTTCAATACTTGCCAGTATTTAGACTCTGGGAGGAAACCCATATGAACGTGGGGAGAACATACAAACTCCCAGGCACAAATGAGTAAAATGATTTTGAACAAATGCAATATTGTTCATACTGTACAGTATGTATGTTTTGTGGAGTAATCAAAGTTATTTGTTGCACTTTAGTATATAGGCAGGGGAACATTTTTTCTGTTCATTTTTTAATCTGTTTTAGAGGAGTTCAATCATAACCTAAAAAATGGTATCTTTGTACCGCTGGCTCCACAGCCAAGCACATACAGTATACAGTACCAGATGTCTGAACCTCTGTATGCATGTGTAGAAAGTTTTTCTTTTCAAGTTTGACAGACATTGACAACAAAAACAGAAAACATATGAGTGACAGAGAAAGAGCTTTATTTTTAACTGTCATCAATTCCTGCCAGGATAAGGTGACTGCACCTTGAGGCACACTCATACTAAATAATGAAATCCATTTTATTTAAAATGTTAATAGTAATGTTTAATTACACCCTTCTACAAAGTACACCCTTCTACTTATTCGTGGTTTTGCATGCTTGCAGTGTCAGATGAGGCTTCCCCTGAGATACATTCTGAATCTTTCTAGAATGTTCTCAGAAGCCCAAAGCTTCTCTTTCCAACTCCAAGGCTCAATTCATAATTTGTGCACACATTTTTATGTCACCCATTGTACTTCTACATCTTCATCACCTCTTTCTGAAGTTTATGTACTCAATAGCTGTAAAGACATATGCTTTATGCTCATTTTATAAAATGTCTTTTAAGAATAGAAAACAGTTGAGTATTGTATAAGTTTCCTGTCTTGTTCTGTTTTTGCATGAAGTACAGTAGTACAGTAGGTATACCCATTAGTATAAATATATAAGTATGATAGGAACAAGTAATAGGTTTATTCCATTCTGAAAAGAGAAGAAAGAAAACACAACGTTTCAGCTATGGAGCTAAGTATGATATACAGTACTATAGATTTTTCCCAGTTTATTAAGTTTCCCCTAAGATGATAAAAGGTGAGAAACACTGGCCTAACTCACTTTAGAATAAATCAGTTTTGTCCATAATTTATACCCATTATAATGTATGTAATTAACATTATTAGCAAACCATAATTAAGATAAAATTATACCTTATGCCTCACCAGGCTTCCTCTAGTCACATTAATTTAGAATTAGATCAAAGACTATTTTACTTAATTAAGAAAAAACAGAACCATCAGTTAAAGTGCTTTATTTAAATGAGAAGTAAACAGGAAAGTGATTTGTTTTTAGTGTATGCCACAGATGTTGTGAAAACTGAATTAATTCACATTAATTAGTGCATGCAATTGTAGGTTGAATGAAAACTGAAAATAAATATTGTTCAATATACTTTAAGAAAAAAATATTCTCCTTTTCATGCATTATAACTTTTTGGGGTAAAATTGTGTTCTGATTCCCACCGAAGTATCTACTCTCAAAAACATTCAAATTATTTTAAATTTGTTATCTTAAGTTTCTAGTAAGTATAGAGAACTCATTGAAAATTTCAAAGCTCATTCATGGCAGCAGACGTTTCTACTTTTAAATGAATTATAACAGTCATCAAAATATCCTCTGCCTATTAAGGCAGGGTTCGTAAACTTAAATGGAGTAAACTAATTTTTATTTTTGATTTCTTGATGATCTGACAGGATTCACATTTGTAGGGCAGAATGTTTCTTCTGACACATACCCAGCAGGTAAGCTGCTTACTGGCTTCAAAACACAAAACACTCCTCTCCAATCATTCTGTACATCTCACAGACTCCCAGTTCCACACAATAATAACCGTCTTGCTCAGAGTCGTAAGCAGCTCTATCTTCATTTGTCCTTTTCTGGATGCCTCAGCTTTCCTGTTGTGAAATCAGTCAATTGTCTTTTAGCAATAGGGGAAGATGATTCGGGCCAGAGTTGCCATCTTGCCTGAACCTGCTGTTCTCACAATATGCTCCACACAGCCTATACCTGTAGTATTGATCTGTATGGTGCATTAATCCCTGGTTTAAAAGGTACTATACTGTACAGTATGTC